TTTTTCTTCTTCTTCCTCTTCTTCTTCATCCTCCATCTTCTCTTCTTCCCCCTTCTTACTATTATTATTGTTGTAATTCCAGTGTCTTCTACAGTCAGGCATATAGTCAGTGCTTAATAAGTGCCCAGTAAGTGAATCATTAAAAGATTAATTACTCTTCTCCCTTCTCATACTCTCCATCATATTTATTAGTGCTCTGCTTATAGCAGCTGCTTTTCAATGGAGTTATTTTCAGTAGGCACATTTTTCAATATATAGAATTATTTAGTAGGACTCAAAAGTTTGTAGAAGGGAGACTTCATTCAATGAATTAATAAATGAAAAACCCATTCATGTATTTTTCTCAGCAACACTTATGAGATCATGACATACATAAAAGCTTTAAAAAGTTTCATAGAAAAATCTTGGCCTCTAACTAGTTGGAATGCAAGTGATTCCTGGCATGTAGTAAGCATTCAATAAATGGTAGTTCTAACTGAACTCATGAACAATGTCACCCTAAAAGTGAGGTTCATGAGGCACAGCTGAACCTACAGATACTTCAAATTCCCCATCAATCCTCTTCCCAACACCTCACCACTCAAACATCAGAAAGTCAGTTCCATACTTGCAGGAATTTAGCCTGTTTCACTATTGAATCCTCAGGGCCCAGCACATAGTAGGTCCTCAATAAATATTTGTTAAATAAATTGAAGGAACACTTTCCAGTAGTATATGAGTTGTTAATCCTTCTCCTGGCTTCTCCTCTCTCTACCTACATATGTTGGGAATCTTAGGCCCCACCCCAGAACTACTGGCTCAGAATCTGCATTTGAACATGATTCCCCTGTGAATCATAGGAGAAGCACTGCTCTATACACTACATAACTCCAACTGATAAAAATCAACTTGCTGAGCAGAACCCAACCTCACACTATACTCGTTTCTGGCAGTTGGTGCTTTATAGAACTAGGAAGAACTAGAGTGGAGTTAGGTGCTAGGATCTGATATCTCTCTCCCCCCACCCCACTCTCTCCCCACTTCCTTTCCCTCTTCCCTCCCTCTTCCCTTTGCTCCTTGTCCCAGTTTCCATGATGGAATCACATTATACAGAGGAGCAGCACAGAGTCAGATTTTCTAGGCTAATTTACTTTTTTCTTGTTGAAGAACTATCAACTAGAGCTAGCTAAAGCAAAATAGTCACTCTCTTTTATTGCTTTCCTTCCTGCCTGTTTACCCTCTGTATGACCTCGGCACTCGTCCTTGTGTATCTCCTGGGAGGGGCACGTACTCAATGCTCACTGAGTATCTGGCATCTGCAGGTACATTAGGTCAGTTTTCCTCATTTAATCCTTAGGCCCATAGGAAATAGAGCCACAGGAACAGGGCATGGAATCAGGTTCAGTCAGTTCTCATGAACACATTCTCCAAAAGTAGTACTTTTTTAGTGACATTTTAAAGGTTGATTATTGTCATATGGATTGGAATATGAAGAAAATATGTTACAGAAATGAAGAATAAAAGGGAAACTGTGAGACCCTGTGGCCATTTTTTAATGATTACCTCCCACTCTAAGGAAGTAGCATCCCAAAGTCAGTACAGACACATTCAGGCTTTTCTGATTCCACAGAGCCCTTCCCATTCTGCCACTGAGTAAGGGCTTCCGTGGGCAACTCAGCACCACACCCCGCCACACCTCTCCCTTTACACCACAAGGACTGGAAGCCTGGGGGGTACATGCCCAAGCATCCTTGCCAACAGTGTCCAGACTTATCAGACGCCACTAAAGAGAGGCATTTCATGGAATTTGAATGAAAGTAATTGAGATTACTGGGCGTCCTGTGTTTCTGCAACTCCCTGACTCTGTGAAAGCAAGCAGAAAAACCAAGAGCCAGCTACAACCTTCTCTGACCTTTATTTGTCCAGCACCCCAAAGGTTTTGTAATCATCTAAATCCTTATTTTAAATTCTTTCCTGTTTGAATGCCTAGAATAGTTCCTATTTTTCTCACCAAACCCTCACTCAGACAACCATACAGCCATCGACTCCTGCCCCTAAGCTGACATTCTATCCTACACATCTTTCTCTATAAAAGCAGCCTTATTTATAAATATTTCCTTATTTTCGTGGCAGCAGTCATAATATAATCTTTGTTATCACAATTTCTGGTACATAATAGATGCTTAGTAAATATCATTTGATTGAATGGACTGAAGTCATGACACTTCCTAATATTTCTTTCCTAAACATCATCCATCTACCCTCATGATTGTTTCCTTTCGAGAAATGAAGACTTAGAATGTCATCACTGGGATCAGAATGTTTCTAAGCTTTGAAACTCTAATTTCTCAAGAGATTGAAGGTTAGGGTCAGGGATATGTGAGAAATTCAGAGAAAGCTCTCATTTGCCTGAAAGCTACTAGAACATCCAGCATCCAGGGATACAACATTCCTAGGTTAAAGGAACAGCTTCTGTTGTGGATTTGTAAAAGTTGGCTTTGAGGAGACTAAGGGATCCTAATAGTTTCATTGATTGCCCTCTTTTACATCCATACCCCAGCTCTGATTCTGTAGTTATTTCCGTTCCTTCCTAACTGTACTTATTTGTACAGACTCTTCACTATTTTCCCTGACCTATACCCAAATCAACTTACAGAAATGAAAAATTATGTTTTATACACAATGAATTTGTGGATTGAGATTCACAATGGCTATAAAATCAGAACTCAGGCCGTTACAGAGATGTTATATGCCCCAATTCTGAGTCCAAAGCCACCTGATTATGGCCTTTCCAATGATTCCCTTCAGTTGGAAGTAAAGAGTGGCATAATCCTTGGCTGGCTGTAGCCTACCCGGCACCCAAAGGGGGATAACCAGGGAATAAGCAACAGGTGTAGCAACAGAGGGCCTCTTGGTTTAAGTGGAACAAAGATAAACAGAGGTCAAATCCATGGTACAGAAAAAAGAATCATGTCAAACTTTTGCAATCAGTTAGCCAATGAAGTTCTAATTCAAAATCAGAAGGGTTTACAAGCTACTCATGAACATGATACTTACCACTCAAATAGTGCTTGTTATATGCTGAGCCCTGCACTATATGATTTAACCTAAATAATCGCTGTCCCATTCCTATGAAGTATGTTATATTATTAGTCCCATTTTATGGATGAGGATATTGAGCTACATAGGGGTTGTATGACTTACTGAAGGTCATACCAATGATAAGAGGCAGTTCTGGGGGTTAGTCTAGCTACAGAGTCCAGCTTGACCACCACACGATGCCGCTTTTGCCCACAAAAAAAGCGCAAATATTTGAATTGTATAAGTCCCAAAGTAAGAGAGTCTCAGGTCCACTCCTTTTATTCTAATGATGAAGAAAGAAGGTAAAGAGATCTGCTCAGTGTCACACAGCTCAGCATATTACTCATCTTTGTTTTTGACACAACATTCATTGTCAATCAAATGAATCATTTTGCTTTTAATATTTCCCAAAGGACAAATCAAAAGTGTTAAATCCAGACTTATATTAACTTCTAGGAATTTTACCTAAGTTGCTCTGAATCTGATATGGGACCTGAGTGACAGGATGCCAAGTGGTCTCCGAGGCCAGGGAAAGCACGTCGATGGGTCATCTCCTGGGTGTCTGGGAAGGAAGGTTGCGCCAGGAAGCCACTTACCAGAAGAGCAGACAAGGAGTCGGGAAAAGGAGCCCAGGGACTTTTTAGTATAGACATGTAAGATTAAGGGAATTTGATGCTGAGCAAATTTTTCTCTACTCTTATTGAAACACCCAGGATTTAGAAACCTGTATTTTCTAAATTTGATCTTTATCTGTTTTATTTATGCTCCATGAATTTCAAAAGAAGGTTCCTATGGAAAATTCCTCTCTTCTCAAGAAACAAAGCAATCATTTTGATTCTCCGTTACCTTTTAGCAAGGACTAGCACATATTGTATTGACTCACTGGCATGTCCAAAGTCCCTGTGACAAAGTACTATTAAAGAAAATAAGACCTACTTCTATCTCCTGAAAGATAATGATTTAATTATGGGCAGAATTTTTTTTAAAAATCCAACATGGGGCCAAGATGGTGCAAAAAAAAGCTGTATTATTTAGATCACTGGGCATTCAGTGACCTCTCGTTGTAATCCTCTTTGCTTTGGTTGTGTTGACATGTCTTGTCATTGATAAGCACAGACCCTGCATTATAACAACTGCTGAAAGCTAAATCAGATGATATTCAAAAAATGTTTCTTACTTTTTTCTAACCTTTTCGACCCCTATTTCAGTTTTTATCCCAAGAATATCTCACTGCTTACACATGCAAAAAAATATGATGACGGATATGACGCATCTGCCAACTTACAAAGATACCTTAAAAGCGAAAATAGAGGCAAGAAAGTAATTGAACCAGCCCTGAGAAGGCTGTTGACAAAGCCCAAAGAAACAAAGTAATTTTAAAAGACTTAACTTGAGCCACAGCGGCAAATATTAAAACTCTTTCTACCAGAGCCCTTAGTTGTTTTAAGTTAAGGAGGAAAAAACTGCTGTATACATGAAACATATCACTATTGTCATTATCAAGGTCCTATTTATTAAATTAGAAAGGAAAAACAGACAAGAAATTTAAAGTATAGGGCCCAGATCAATGAAACACATCTTTCATTTTTTAGATATCTACTGGAATTATAATGTTCTCTCTAATGAATACATTAAATTTCAATTTGGATGTATGCCAACAAAGTAACGGAATTGTTGATGTTACCCAGAAGACACTCGAGGGGAGATATCAACTGATGATCAACCCAGTCAGATTGAGTCTCTTTTCATTTTCTCCTAAAGGAGCCTGGCTCTGGGAACTTTACAGAACCAGGCAGACAACTATCTGCACTGTGGCTTTGGGACAAGCCATGGAATAAACAATATAGCACAATGGAGGCAATGACCAAATCACCCCTGGCCTTTAAGATTTTTCCAGTACCTTCCACCCAGACAAAAGCAAATTTGGCCTTGGTACTTACCGCATTGAAATTGGGGAAGAGGTTGACCGCGGCCGCAGTGTCAAGAGGAAAGGGAAGAAATGGTTTAATATCCAGCGATGGCTGCAAAGGAGGGGCTGGTGGACGGACCAGGGCTGGGAGAGCAGGACTCTGGCATGTACCACCTGTGGAGATCAGAGCAAAGGGAGCAATCAGGGACACACACATGGAGAAAACACTGAGATGGCATTTGAGACAAAAACGCCAGCTTTGTGGGTCACTGGAAAAAAAAAGAAAGATACAGACATTGACCTCAACTGGGAACTGGCCAGTGAACAGATTTGCCATTAGGCAGAGGGAGCTAGCTGAACTGCTCCGTTTTCCTTTGTTTATAACTATCAGGTTATATAACTAGCAGTCAACATGTCAAACTCCCCAACCTATCTTTATTTTCTTGCCCAGAGCTCTGGATTGGGTCAGCAACCGATCTCTAATCAAGCTCTCTGGATTCAAAAGGAAAACCCCTCCACTGCACACCCATCCCTCTTTGAAAACTAACCTGCTCAGAATATGCATCAAGTCTGAGTGATTATTTTACAGAACTGCTCTTTTCTACCAAATCCAAAACTCTGTTCCCAAGATGACATAAACTTGGCACAGAAAAGAAATTTAACCACAAACACAAGCAGCCATACCTTACTGCCTTGGCAACTGGAGGATTACAACTAGCAAAACCAGTGCTACAATCCCTGAACTGTTCAGTGCCCCTATAGCTTTGAGTATTCAAACTACCTGCCTCCTTCCCAGTCATGAGTAGGTGGAATTTGCATGGCCACTAATGAGCAGACAGTGGGAATAATATGCGAACAAAGACACCCCCTTCGCATACCAGTAGGCAGTCAGCTGTTTGCAAGGGAGCACACCTCTTCCCCTGTCATAGGACTCCACTGCACTCAGAAGCTGGGAGGAAGGAAGCCCATCCTCAGCGTTCAATCTCCCCTATTTTGGTAACATTCCAAAACATCAATTTGCTGTTAATTAAAGGCTGTTTGAATCCTAGGAAACTGTTAAAATATGCCAGCATTCTTCTAATCTGAGAGGCAAGCAACAGACTGTAAAAACCTGCTGGTGAGAATCCAAGAAGCATTAGGAAAACAAAATGCAGTGGGACTTTTCTTTCCTCACAGAAAAGCATTCTAGGAGACAGAGGGGAGAGGAGAGGTTCACGTCTATGTCACTTACTTGCCTGCCATCTTGTTTTTACGACAAAGTAGAGTGAATTCCCACACAAATTACCTTTACAAATCTTACTACCACTCTCTGGCCAACTGTACACAGATCATCATCTTGATCTCAATCAGTTACCTGAGCACAAAGCAAACATTCTGGAAATGATTCCCCAACGATAAATCCAAACCTGTTGGGCCAGAGGATCTGCTAACAAGGTGGATGACTTAATACCTGTAACAAAAGCCATAAGCACAGGATTTAATTAACCATACACAAGAACCATCAGTTCTACTGCTCCCAGGTATAAAATCAGCTGGAGCTAAATTAAGAAAAACAGTATTTTCCCTACTGTTTTAACTTCCCTCTTGAAATATTCCTCAACAATAGCAATGCCAGCAACTGAAGTTCGAAATCAGCAAAGCGATTTAAAAAAAAAAAATACTACAAGGCAGGAAATAGAGGTCAGATGTTAAAATAAACAGAGATAAAAGCAAAATATAACAAGTCTACGTTCACCAGAGCACACCATAAACTTATTTTATTATCCACCTGGTAGTGTATTGAGTGTGAATGTATAGCCTTTTCTAAAGAAGGCATCCATAAAACTGTCATGAGTTTAGTATTGCTAGAAGTTTCTCTTTTAATAAAAAGTTAAAGAATCAAAATAAATTTCTTGGTTGGCGCCTCCTCAGAAAATTCAAAAGTAAAATAAGTTTTAGAGACTAGCCTGAGCAAGAGTGAGACCCTGTCTCTTCAAAAAATGAAAAATTAGCCGGGTGCCGTGGCACATCCTTGCAGTCTCAGCTACTTAGGAGGCTGAGGTGGGAGAACGGCCTGATCGCAGGGGCTGAGGCTGCCGTGAGCTATGATGATGCCACTGCACTCTAGCCCGCACGACAGAGCCGAGACCTTGTCTCAGAAAAAAAAAAGTATAAAGTAAGTTTTGGCTGAAGCCAGGGTGTGGTTTAACATGTCCGCAACCAACAATGAGTTTGAATAAATAACTTTATTTTCCTTTGCGTCACATGTCATTCTTCGCAAAGAATATTCTCACACATTCATTATCTTGTTGGATTCTGAGATCTCAGAAACTAGATAAGGGCTAAAATAACATCATGTAAAGAAAAAAAATAAGTTGATAACTCTTTGGCTGTTTCTGTTGCTTCCACAGAAACATTCCATACTTATAATTACAAAAATGTAATTTAGCAAGAATATATTCTGCAATTATTTCCCTCTAAGTCCTCCTCTGGTTCAGGATACCAAAGAAGTTAAGGAATAGCTCAAACTTATTTTTTCATCTAGCACAAAGAGAAGCACAAAGAATAAAAATACCTTGATTTGATTTCTAGGTAAATTTAATTCCCCCTTCATTTATGCTTATGTATATTGTTCAAGACCCTCTCCCTCAATGTTGCAACCAGAGTTTCCTTCTTAGTGGATTAAAACAACATCAAAGAGGAGTCCTAAAACTTTAGAAAGTCAGAGAAGATGTTTGAGCTCATTTCTTCCTGTCTGCTTGAAGAGAGAAACCTACAAGATCACAGGAAAGCAGAGGACATGAGACCACATATTCTTTGCCCACTTGCTATGCAAATACAGGTGTACTGGATTCTGTGGACATGGTTTCAAAAGCCCCCTCCAGACATGAGGCACTTGTTTCTCCAGTTGCTTGGAGTGCTGGGGGCTGATGGCCCTCACCTGGGATCCTCTTCACAATTTGGCCCAGCGCCTAAGGGAGCTATCTCCACGAAGGTGACTCTGCTAAGTGGAGGGGTTGGTATCCCCGTGTCATGACTAATGCAGGTGTTTAATGGCTTTGCCCCCTTACCTCAAAGCAGGGCAACCCTGAGGCTCTATTTTACCTCTAAAGCTCCTCATGGCATCTAGGATAGGCTGAGGTCTCCATTGCGACTGTGTCATAGTCCAGCTTCCTCCTCTTCCAAATCCTGTATCCCTCACTCCTCACAGGTGATTCTCCCCAGAGTACTCCCCAATAAAGTCTCAGGGTTCACTTTCAGAAGAATTTGATCTGTGACGCCAGGGTACAGCAACTCATGAGTCTAAGTGAAATGCTGAATTGCTTTACTCCAATATAGACGCTTGCCTCCAAATCTATAGCAGTGATATTGAGGCACAAAATTGAGGCTACCTCTTAAAAATTATCTGTTACTAATACTTCTGCATTTAAAATCTGGATTAGTCCTAAAATATTGTACTTGTACCAATCTGTATATGCTCAGCAGCAAGAATACTATTTGCAAATAGTGCAAAATCAAAACTGGCAAATATAGTATGTTTCATTTGTGAAGCAAATTAAAATATTCTTTTTAAGAAAATAGCTATTTCATTCTTTCATTTTTAAATAGAAACTATTGCATTTAAGGCATAAATATGTTTATTAATATTTTCATTATTATAAAATTATCTTGGCAATAATAAACATGAAAATCTACAATGAATTTGTAGACATTTCTATAGGTGAAAAAGTTGTTTTGTTGTTAATTTTTACCAACAGTGTCGCTTCACTCATTGGAACATCACAGTCCTAGAAATATTAATATTTTTAATTTGAGGAAGGCATTTTAAAGCCTCCATGGAGTAGGATCTGAAAAAGATAAATTCATGTTCTTTGTATTCGAAACTCTATTATCTAGTACCACACATTTCATCGCCTGTACCATTTTATTAACACAGTTTAACAAATTAAATTTTAACAAATTAATCTGATTTCAGAGCTGTTACTATCTCTCTTTACCAAATTTGTTATCTGTCATTAAAGTCAACAAATTCAAAAACATTCATTGATTGTAGATTAGTT